ATCTATAGCTTGAAATCTTGTTAGTTTAGCCAGTCAATCAGTTGCATTGAACATCTCCGAACGAATCATAGCAGTAAACAAAACCTAATGTCAAAACTACTTACACATAAACACGCCCACACACTATGGTGGCAGAATAGAATTATTTTAGCGAAAACTACCACTTAAAGTCGAATGACGCTGTTAACTTTAAACAAGCAAGTAATCTGAGTCTATAATTTTCCCGGTTTATCTATGAATATGTAATAAAAGAGCCAGCGGTTCAACTGTACTATTTATAGGCACTAACAGTGGATTTTACAACTATTTATTTCTTTCTATGGCATTAGTGTTGTTGAGTGTATGTACTTCTGCCAACCAAACGATGTCGGCAGTCACTAGACAAGTGACTGCCGACCTTTATATTTATACATTTGTAGATAATTTTGAACTGTATATAGGTTTATTTTGTTCTTATTTCAAACTGGGCAGGCATTTTGCCACTATCATGACGCAATGATGCGATCTATGGTGTAGCGCGCCTACCCATAAGCAACCTATTTGCTCTGGCTTGGAAGATACCCAGGTCCCCATCGGGAAACACAGACTCTGGCAATGTTTATAAATACTAATATTAATTTTAACAATTGTAACTTGTGTTGATGATCCTTATTAGTTTACAGATTTGGACGTTAGACGATTTAAAGTTTAAAAACCAGTTTGCACACTTCGAGAGATATTATATTTTAACTATGGAAAGAAGTAATAGTTATTGTATACCGAGGGTTCGTTACGAGCCCGAGAATTACTGTAATAAACAATTTTACTGTAAAAAACAATTTTATTGTAAAAAACAATTTTACTGTACCTAAAAAAGGACGTAAACAAGAAAGCGTTATCGTGGTGAGTACTTCAGTTAGTCAGTTATGTTTGGGAGAGCCAAGCTTCAGCGCGAATGGGTAAGCTTGACTTGAGTGATACCACGGCCTCATAGAAAAACCGGCGTGAAACAACTACAGCGTCGTGTGAGTGATGTAACCGGGGTCTCAACCTCTCCCCATCCCTTCCCAATCCTTAAATATCCAAAACCCTTGTCCCCAAATGGCCGGCAACGCACTCTTAACTCCTTCCGTGTTGCGGGTTGGCGGATGATTTTTCCCTGACAAAAAAAAAAGTATCTCCACATACGACTTAAATATTTTCGTTGTTTTCGAAATTACAAAATCTAAAAAGCAGGCAAGTTAGGTGAGTGAGACATTGAAAAAAAATTGTTAATGACATCTGCTGTATTTTAAATTAATTTAAACACTGTAGTTAATAGAATGTAATAATACAAATGAAGTAGTAGCAGTCAGTAAAATTTATAATTTACAATATAAGTACGAGAATTCAGTAGCAAAACAGAAGTTGCTTAATATAACTACAACTATAAATGCTTATAACACTGACGACATAAAACAAGAAACATCAGCATTCTTAAAAAGTCATAAAAACTCAACATATTTTTTGATATTTACGTGGTAACGACCTTAAAAGTGGTATAAACAAAAATTGTCGACGCAGGTATCAAAAAGTTTAATTGGATGTACAAAAATCTAATCAACTTTTATTGACAGGCAACACACGGCTAATCAAAAATAAACATAATTTCGTAATCGTACCGAACTAACATGTTTTATTCATTACATTAATTGTTTTAATGACGTGTTCGCCACTAATTGAACTTGCGAAGTGAAATAGTGAGTGTCGTAAAATCATATTGATTGATTAATCAATTCGTCGATAGAAATACATCATAATCCTGGCATTTTTAAGTGTATTAGAATATTGGCATTTAGTGGTATATCAACTGTTCGTGACAGACCACTGCTAGACATCTTTTAAATCATTCACCACTAGCTTCCGCCCGCGGCTTCGCTGGCGTGGTATGTTCATAAAAAGTAGCCTATGTCCTATTCCTTATTGTAACCTATGCCTGTCCCAAATTTCAGCCTTTTTGGGGAGATTAAGTAACAAACATCCAAATATTGCAACTTTCGCATTTATAATCATCCTTATCGTTGGCAGATAGGTTGGAGATTGAATTAAAGGAAACCTATGTATTACAAACGAGGGCTTTTTTTGTGAGGGGAAAGTCATCGAATGACGTCGCCCGCCCATAGTCGGGCGGGAGAGAGTGTCAGACTCTTACTGACTCTCCCCGTTCCTTCTCCTGCTCTGGGCTAAGGTCGCGGTGCCTCATTGCGCTTTGTAAGATTGCTCCCTCAGTCTGGGGTAGCGGTTCAATAGCGCCCGGCTTCGGTAGAGGCCATCGGTCAGAGCGAGAGGAATTGGGAAGCCGTCTCCTTTTTCTGTGTTAAGCAGTTATGCTCGCAAAGAAGGAGGCGGACTGCGTGAGTCGGCTATCCTTCTCCTCACGCCCCACCCGGTGCAGTATGTGACACTCCGGGGTTCGCTCGGGGATCTAGAGACGATCTCCGGCCACCGTAAGCATGGGTCTGCGGACGGCGAGTAAGGGTAGATCGCCGCCCGACCAGAACAAGACCCGACCGGAAGGCGCGTAGCGTTCCGCGCTCGCCTCAAAGTCCCAATAGACCACCACAGACGGGCTGATGTTCAGCTAGGGTTGCAGGGCAAACGCAATGAGACATCGCAGCCTCGCGGCTGAACATCAGCCCTATAGGGCCCCGTCTGACAGTTCCTTGCGCCCCAGAAATAAATTGATGATACCCCATAAAAAATGTCCGGTTTACCTTGGTACAAACATGCAAGCAAATTCTATTAAACCAATATAAAAATCGATAGACTGTTATTAAGACGATGTTAAAACTTCAGTTAATGTCTTTGTTAGTCACGTCGTATTTTGATAATGTCAGCCTGATTCTGGAACACAAGGAATGCATAAGTTTCCATTGCATTGTCGATCGTGTATGCGTAACAACTAAATCCCCTTTTAGTAGGTATAGAGAGTACTGAACTTTTGAAAACATTTTGCCTACCGGCAAATGACCCGTTGCTTTTTTTGTAATGGGGATGGTGATTGACTTAGATAATTCTCCACGTATTGAGCAATTTTTAAAATAATCTAATTTCGATTTAACTACGTTATGTACAACGATGTAGCTAGGTACTCATTCCTTTATGAACACACCAGTGACTGAAAACAATGAAACCAACGATTCAGTTTTGTATTCTCGAAGATGAAATTAAATTAAACGAATGTGTTGTGTGAGTGACTGCTATGACTAACGACTGCCGCTTTATTGATTACCAGCGAGACGGCATTGTTAATAACAATGTGTTAAGATCGCGCTTTCGATTCATCAATCTCATCAAAACAATTGGATTAAATAATTACACTGCGCAGCAAATCGTGACCGCGTGCCGGCAATAAAAGTTGAGTGCAGTGCGATTATCAGATTACACACATAACGCTCTAATAACAAGCTGCTATATGAAACAGGACCATTTAACAATATTGTCTCTGACCAATCGGCGGCCAGCATTGCTAACGTCACGCACCACACAGCGTTGCGCGCGCGTCACCGCACCGCACACCGTGTCACTGCGCACATTTGCCGCGTGTTATTGCCGCCTCGCACGACTTACCATCATTTGTATGAGCGTAAAGAAGGCGCTCGTTTATCGAGAGAGCCACGAACAAAAGCGCTTACGCCTCGTCTTAATTAATATGATTAATGAGCCGAGGCCGCGGCGCGTTTTTGAACTCGCGTTACTGTTGTAATCGAGAAATAAATTAATTTTATTAGTAGTCCTTCTTAATAGAATACGAGCATCGAGGGCCGAGTCGCTTCCAAATGACTCTGGCAGTGCCGTGTTTTCCCGGTTCGTTACGTTTCTCTAATTTAAAAATTGGGCGTTAAAACTCACCGATTATAATTTAAATTTATGACATTATGCATAATATAAAAGCCGTATTAAAAAGGAAATTGTGACGCGTTCAGTGGGCATCACTAACAAGCCGAGTGTCTGAACACACTTTAAAAACCCCTAATGACTTTAGCTATAATTTCATTTCATTAAAGTTATTTCATCAAACTACTACTTGCCCACCTTCTCCTTAGTTTCATTAATATTAACATAATTTAATTGCTCCCTTCAAAGTCATATCACTACTTTATAACAGCTATACATATATATTACCTGCGTTACATTTATGAGGAACTCTAATACTAAGAGCATTCAGTACAAATAAGTGGTAAAATAATTTGAATCGATTAAAGGAATTCGCAGTAAAACAAATAGTATTCGCGCAGACGTGTTACCCTTTCAAAACATAGGTATCTATTTATTTTCCCATGTTTCTAAGCTAACGCGCTGTCGTCCACGTGCGACAGAGTTTGTATCTTACGGCGCGGTGTGAGAGTGCATATCTGGAGTGCGCGTGCGGCGGTGCGCTCGCGCCTCGGGCCGAGATCGTGGCGGAGATAATTAGAGGCCGCGGCTCTGTGGGAGCCATAAAAACGGCAAATTGACCGGCGGGATAACCAGAAAGGCACAATGTGTTAGATAATAATTTCCAAATTACAGGTTATGTTAGTTCGCGAGCGAGACTCGGCCGGCTCTTTTTTCTCGAACGCCGACTGAGGTGCTAAGGGCAGGCTAATTATTATTTGGGTATCAGAGCGAGGATTTTAGTGCAGCTGCTACCTGTATAAATATTTATTATTAAAAAGATCAAACGCCAATTTCAACGGAATCCAATTTTATCAGCCAATTAGGTACTGTTACTACAAATAACTCTTCATTTCATAAACATTATAATTTAATGATAAGGTAGGTACGTTGCCATGACTGCCATCGTGAACTCATGACCATTTCACAGCAAACAAATACCAATATAAGAAATTAATTTTAAACCTAAGAAAGTGTGGCTAATTATATTTGTCAAAGAAGTTTCGTTTGCGACTTACCTACAATAGATAAAAATCTTTATGTTAGCGTCAATAACGTTTAAAATATATACGATATCAATTTCCATACAAAATGACTTCAAACAGAACCCCTCTCCCGCAGAATATACAGTGCAATCGAATGCAGACAAGTAGACGCTACATTCCGATATAATATGGGGATGGTCCCCAATTCAGAGGAGCTTGTAAGACAATCGATGGTAGGACAGGTGCGCGGGGCGCCGGCCGGGAAGCGCCGCCATTGGCCGCGGCCGGGCGCTCCGCCCCACGCCTCCAACTACTCCTAGATTAATGTTTTGTTAAAGGGAGCATTATCTCCTAAGATGTGATGAAATATGCGAGCTGCAGCATCCGACACGCTAATGCGGGTAATGCCCGTCGTGAATCCATCCTTGTTTATATTTAATGTGTTTCAGCGCTAACTTGTCTGAACGAAAGCATTATTTAGATTAGCTGTAAAATTATCGGACATTTATAATTTTATACTTGATTTTGTAACAATATTTATTTCTAAATGACTTTTTTGCACAATCTACCGCTATGCTATGGTACAGTTAGGTTTTTTCATCAGAATTTCAACTATTTAGGAGGAAAATTTCATTTGTTCCGTTTTGTAAAACGGAGAAAAAGTAACACATTTGTTACTTGTTTGATTTAAAATACCCACTTTATAATAAAAATATAGTTTACAGAATTCCAATCCAAATCTCGGTCTTACTAAAACAACAAAGGAAATTATGTATAAAATAAACAAATGATGCAAATCTTGAATCATTCGAAGTCATTCCGCCTCAATTGCAGGTCCCAGGCCCCGTCCATCTCCCTGTAATCAGAGACCCCAAACAGTTACCCACGTAAACCTCAGTTCTAAGATTGTTTATCCACCAATTTCTCGAGATGGGACCCAATACAATTGTGTTTGTCAATGATAAATGGTCGCGCGCGGTGCTTTTCATCTCCTACGGTCAAAGGCGCCGCCGGCAAACGTCGTCAGGTGAAATTCAATTTTAACCGAACGTTCATAAGGTGTATTCTTGATTGTGTATAAATAATTACAACACAGGACTAAATGATACGGTACTAATCAAGGTAGGGAATAAACGCGGATAATGCGGCTTAATATCGTTTGAAAGGAACCTTTCGGCGGGTAGTCGCATTCAACCATAATGAGTTTATTCAGAGTTTTAATCGAATGAATCGTGGTAAGCAAATAGTGGTTGAACAGACTCCGGTCAGGTCGACGCGGCTGGTGTCCTTTTCAATTTGTAAACCAATGATAGACGGGCTTGGAAACTAAATTAAAATTAAATTAATATCACCAAAAAGTTTTTAGTTTTTTCATATCATGAGGTACCGTAGTAGTAGTTGAATTTTATTTAGACTAGGTATTCATTGTTCTTCTATGTAAGAGATATGTTAATTTGCATGAACACTGGAAATATCTTTTTTAATCAAAACCATACTTCGTATTACTGATGTTAGCTTTGAGAAAATTATATTCAATATTTTCATACCTTGTTGAAGTCATTCTTATAATTAGTTTGATCTCAATAATTACTGTTAAAAAAACAAATAACACATTTGCAATTTTATAAGTAGGTTACAAATGGGAATGGAAATTATATTGTAAATGCTTCTGTTAGTCAAAAATTATACTCAATGCGACTTGTGATAAACATTGTTATGAATTATACAGATCAAAAGTTTTTATGTACGGTGTTGTATTCGTTGTTTTCTTTCTTTTTTCACATTAAATAGCATTTACTTTTCATTGCTTGCCTTTGTTAAACAGAACTAAACTTTCAAATAATAATATTGTTAAAACGTTAACATTGGTTGTCACCATAACGTGAATTAAATTGAACCAGAATAACTCAACCCATTTATTCGAATGTCATTTAACTTAACGACAACATACATTAGTTGTAACACACTTTGGGTTCGAAACCAGTAAGCAAGCACCATTGTATTTTTTTCCGAGTTATAAGTACTTTCTATGACTATTTAAACACCATTGACATACGGTTAAGGAATCGTTAATAAACCTGGGCTTTATGATTTCTAATTATATAATTTGAAATCGCCAATCCGCCTTGAGCAAGCTTGGTGACTAATGCTTAAATCTGCTCCGTGTCAGAGCCTTTGATGAACAGTGGGCACTTTGGCTGATGATGTATATTGTAAGGATAGTTTATCATCTTAGGATGTTTCACTATCTCTGAATAGTATGTATGTATCAAATAAATTAGAAAATAGAATGTGATTTATATGAACTACGCGGGCGGTGGGATATTTGAGATTCAAACATAGTCTGACTGACTGGTATGTCCGTGGTTGATTGTTTAAAAAGGCTTAATTTACGTCCTGCCACAAAAAAAATAAGTGAATTAAGGGTCCGAAAGATGCCTAATGGTCAAACAAGAGGTATCAAATTCGATAGAGTTGCTTTGTAATTGTCGATATTTTAGTACTACATAGTTGATTCTACAGAGACGATACATTATGTTTACGGGAACAGGCTCATACCTATTACTATGTTGATAGAGTGATTTTTAGTACTATAGCAACCAAGCATAGAAAACTCGATTCTTGGATCGGGGAGAATACTCTTCTTTTTTCCGAGTGTAGAATTTTATCGATTTATATGGGGCCTATTGAAGCGCGCACTATAACTAGGAACTGAAAACATCAATGGCGAATAGTATACGTTACATTGAATGTTCAATTGTCCACTTCTGTCTAGCTTGGTTTAATAAAAAGCTGTGTCATATAATATTATGTGTCTATAAAAATGGCTTGATTCGTCACAGCTGACACGGCGACGTCCGTGACATAGGCAGAGAGCCCGCACCGCGTTAGATAAAAGATTAACTACGGACCACCTTGTATGCTCGTTTGTTTTCAATCAACTTTCACTAAGCACGCTTTGACTTTACTACAACATTTTATAGCCATTTACTCGGAGAAGACAACTGAAAAGCCATTTTAAAATGTAATTAATTTTAGATTTTTATTTATACTACTTATGACAATCATAGACTGAATTGTCCCCTCGCAAGAAATCTTGGTTTCGGCAACATTTATAGTAGCAACAATAGAATATTTAGAAAAAGCAAAAAAACGGTTTAAGTGAGAAAGTCTAGAAATATAATCCAAGTAGCTAGCCCTAGCTGCAGTACCTACTACATATAAGTTTTGCTATGGAAATGTTATGTTATTCAGTAAAGTTAAACCAGCTGGCAAATTATTTGTAATCGATGTGGATACTAGTAAAACTAAAATTGCATATTTGAAGTGAAATCTTTTCCTGTCATTACGAAAATGTGCGAAATAGCCAGAGTCGTGGCACGAACATCGCGCGGTAGTTCACAGAAACAATAAAGATTAACACTTCTTGTATTCATTATTTTCTTGGAACATAAACACGCGCAGCTTTTGTTTGCTGGATATTATTACATTGACGATACTAATAGTACTTTCATAAGCATATATTTTGTCGATTGTTGAATTTCGAAGTGACAATGAACAACTAATAAAATAATGGATACGACGTGACCACGAAAACTGATAAAATTGTTGTTGATATGCAAATGTGAAGTTGAAGTAAAATGCACCGTATAATGGCGGGCGCGCGCGCGCTCTCCTCAATGCGGGTGCCGCTTCTTGCGGCTTTACTACCACCAATTACTGTTTATCGCTATTTTTACATCGCGAGTCGCGTATTTAGTAAACACTCTTTGGCCTATTGTTTGTGTCGCCACACTCGTAATTATCACGGAAGCGCTAACAGACTTGTCACGTAAACAACAAAATGGTCCTCAGGCCATACCTGTATAGTTCGTACGTTCGTAACTCTGTTACCACGCCATACCTCTAATTATACTTTATAAAGACTCGTAGAACAAACGCTCCGACAAGAACCAACATGATAAGTTTTACTAAATTACAGTTGTCAGTAAAGTACCGTACCTAAACTGTCTTTTTAAATCGAAGATAATATAAAACAGCGTTAACCCCTGTAATTAGCGTTCATCCCGCGCCGCCGCGCCGCCAAATGGTCTGCCAGCAATCAATTAAAACAATATTTGAAATAGTGCTCCCAAAAAAATTAAAAGGAAGTTCTCAGGCTATAAACATTGGGTATTATGTGAACCGGCTAGTGCCGTCTCCCTCTACCGCATCGATGCGTCCCGCTTGGGTTGCGCCGGCGCGTCTACGCGTACCATATTACTGAGGAGGATGCGCGCCGCGATGAATTATGAGCCAGCCGCGTTACCGCCAAAGCCTTGTTTGAGAGAGCCAAAGTAATTAACTTCGACTTAGTTAACATTATGACTTTGAAATCATCTTTGAACTCACAAAACTAAAAATTTCGTAGCGCGTAGCAGTATGCTACGCCGTAGTCATTGCAAACATTAAAAGGAAAATAAGTTATTTGTTTAGCTCCAGTTTAATTTATCTGTCGATTCTTATATACGAGCTGGTTGATGTTCGATACTCATTATGAAAATTTTATATGAATAGATATAAGTTGTGTATGATCTCTGTGTATGATATACGTACGCTGTGGCCCAATTTGAAGGTTGACCGTTTAAAATACTTTTGACAATAGTGATATAATTACCAAATGCCTTCCTTTTATTATACAAATATTATTCAATCGTTGTTTTAAAAGTATTTTACATTTCAACATAAATAAATCTAACAAATCAAATTAAAACACGAACGAGTCCATTAGACGTTTCACTAAAAAGCAATAATTTGATGATTAGCAAAAAATCAAAAAATATCTCAATATAAATAAATATGCCGCATTCAAACTCAAACAATACCCTCGCTATTAACTTGGACCGCGGTTTAGGCGAGTCAGTGAAGCCGCTAATCGAGTTTGTCGGCCGATGTTATCTCCAAACCACACGTTAATAGTACCAACGCCTCTGAACGCAGCTCCGAGCCTCGCTTACTCATGCTGCACTAGAGCGAACCTTTTGTTTCAAGTATACTATCATTATTGGACTCAACGGGCCTTAACACGAGTATTGACGTTTTTGTTCCATGTTTGAATTTTGAAATGGGAATTTGTTTGTTCTAAAACGTTTTAGTGCTGTCATAATGTTGGCATTTTTTTTCTTATGCAGTGAAACATACTAACTACAATTACTTTTAAGTCATTTTATATTTAAAATCTAATTAATTTAAAACCTACATTCATCTTATTTTAATATTTGCGAAGTAACACATGTTCTTCATAAAAAACATTGTAAATATCTAATCGAGTATAAGCACT